TGAGATATGAAAAACTCCATCAATGAAAAAAATGAAAACGATTTTTTTCTTTTTTTTTTTGCATTAGAACTGAAGTACTAAACTCATCAGCATGATAAATGCTGGCGAGTAAGGGGGACCCCTTAATGGGAAATAACAATTATTTTTAAGTGCAAGGAGTATCTGATGTCAATAGGATTATTCAGTAGAATCTACTGGTTTCATATCTAGTAGATGAACTGTATTCAAATATTAAAACTGAACCCATGACTGCTCCAGGTCAGATCCGTGCAATTTTCCTTCCCGTTCGGAGGACAGTCAAGTGGTCCGCCGAGGACATCTCCGCAGCCATCACTCTGAGGAGCGTAAGTGTTCGAGCTTATCAGTACCTCAAGACAAAACGCAACATTCCCCTGCCAGGAGAGTCGACTCTTCGCAAGTGGATGGCTAACATGAAGCTGGAGGAAGGCATTCTCGAGTCTGTTCTTCATTTGATGAACAACAGGTGAGCATGTGCAGGGTTTCGTCAGAGGATTATGCCGAAAATAGAGGATTTTCCGCATTTATTTTCTCGATGTCTAGTTCCGGTTGCGGGTTTGAAATTTCGTCGGATGGATGAATACATATTTTTCCAATGATGGAGGGAAAGAAAAATTTTTTTTTGAATCTTTTCAAATTCACTTGGCACCCTTAAATGTTGAATTATTCAAGATTCATGAAATAATCGTTTCCGTAAATAAAAAAGCCGTATCTTTACGCCTCCACAGGGCAGCAGAGATGGAGGACCACGAGAAACTGGTCTCCTTGAGTTTCGGTGAAGCCGATCTGTCAGACAAACTCGAGCCAACCAAGAAGTCCATCGACAAGAGGGTGCGCACACATCAGTGTGCAATGGTCAGAGGACTGTTTGCCAAGTGGAAACAGCCGGTGTATTACACCCACGACAAGCCCATCACCAAAGAGGAGCTCCTGGATATCATTGATCGTCTTCATCAGAGCGGGTTCACGGTGGTCTCCATCGTCAGTGAGATCACCAGAAACAATCTAAAACTCTGGAATCAATTGAAGATTGGAATTGATGAGGAGGAGAATTGCTACTTCCCCCATCCCAACATCCCAAACTCCAAGATCTTTGTGTTTGCTGATGCCCCGTTCATTCTGAAATCACTTCGCAACTATCTGCTGGACTCGGGGGTTGATATCGATGGGAAGGTCATCTCCAGAGACTGTATTGAACGGGTTCTGAGGTTGAGGTCTCCGGAGATGAAAATCGCGGAGAGGATTGGCCAGGGACATCTGAAGGTGGGGAATGCTGATAAACAGAAGGTAAGAGTGGGACTGTGCAATAATGGAAATTATCATTCAGCAGCGAAGGGGTAAAGGGGGCCAGTTTTTAGTGAATATCTCGAAATCTGGGGCGGATAGCAAATTTTTTGTCTTTACATTTTTTGTAGCTCTCAATTCGCTCTACGAAAAAGGTCATTACGAAAATTTCGTTATCTCTCTTAGATTTGGAGATATTCCTCGAAGACTCAGCTGAGGGCTAGATCGACTTACACCGTTTTACCGCTTCGTTTGTAAATTGTAGATAACTTGTTTAGACAATTTGAGTATTTGTTTCAATTCATTATAAATATAGTTTTTATATTGATGAGTTGTATATCATAATATGCCATTATAAATATAGTTATAGTTATTTAATTGACAAATAGATGATTAAATTTTTCTGAAAGAAAAAATATCATGTTGTATTTTATTTGAAAGAATAATTCATGGATAATGAACATCATTCTGATTATATTTGGGTAAAAGCTAGATTTTTTTATCGCTCCTTTATTATTAATAAATCTGAAGAATTGCTTACATTTCCATAAGTCTTATTCTTTCAGCATTAAATCGATTTCTAGTAAAATTCTGAATACGCAGTTCAAATTTTTAAAAACTGGGGAAGTTGATTGTTCATCAATTATTTATAAAAAAGGATCGTAATCTTCAAAAATGCCCATTTCTCAATCAATTTATAAATTTTTTATCCTTAAATTTCAGTCTGAGTTTAACTATATATCTTGAAAAGAAAAAAATAGAACGGGTACAAGAAAAAAATAGAGGAATGGAAAAATATGAAAATCAAATTGGAGAAGATTTTCAATCTTCAAATTTGTAAATTGAATTGCGAGAAAAATCAGAAAAAATCATGGACAACATCATTCTGATCATATTTTACTAAAAATAGTTTCAATAGTCATCACATTTAGAAATTGAAATTTTTCGAAATTTTATTTTTTCCAAACGAATTCGATTTCTTTTAAAATTCAGAATATACAAACTCGTTACAATTATGAAAAAAAAAATCATGTTCGGGTAGAATACTAATTCTTAATAAATTATTCATAAACAAAAATCATTCTCAAAAAGCCCTTTCTGAAATATTTTTCGAATTTTTAATCTAAAATTGTCATTCTCATTTCGGACAAAAACATTGAAAACGCGAAACGAAAAGAAAATGTGAATCTTTTATTTTGAACTGTTCATTTTATTAATTTCATTACTATATTTTATGTTTATTTAACTTGATCGTGTAATTTGTCGTGTGCTGTTAGGTCTGTATGAAATAAAAATGGAATGAAATGAAAACGAAAATGAAAATGAAATCTGAAAACTGAAAAAGACTAGAAAGATAAAAAAAATCAGCAGAATAATTGAATAGAATTCTTCAAACATGTGCCTTCACAATTAGTTCTCACCAAATATCTCTGTGAAATTCCCCAGGTGAGGCTGGCAGCCGAGCTGCTCTCCGACGAAGTGGCGAAAGCGATCGAAGGTTTCGGAGTGATAGGCGAACTCCAGGACTACAACTGGAAGGAGACAGCAGACTTCCTGAAGATCGTTCACGACTGGTTCAAGGTCTTCAACTACAAAGGGAAGATCGACGAGGAGTCGGTTCAGTTCGGTTTGGGGTACGGCTCCAGCCTGGACGCTCAGATATCCAAGCTCGAGCGGATGACTCTGCTGATGGGGCTGATTCGCAGTGGAATTGAGGACGACTCCATGATAAACCTCCAGAAGAGCGTGATAATGAACAATTGCTCGTTGTCACAGCTCTTTATTTACCTGGGGGACAGATACGCCACTGACAAATTCCCTGTCGACTACATTCTCACCAGCAGACTTAATATGGATATCTTGGGGCAGCTGTTCTCGTACCTCATCTCCAGGAAGGACTCGAAGGACAAGTACAGTCCGATGGACTTCAAGTATCGGTTGAGGTGGTACATGCTGGGGGAGAGTGCTGAGGCAGCTCGAGAGGAGTTCGGGGAGTCTGACGGGGACAAGTGGGAGGATAAGGCTGAGATACTTACTAAGGACTTGTGGCAGCTCCTGAGGCAGAGGAAGGGAAAGAAAGCAGCCGTTGTTGATGACGATGATGACGAGGATGAGGAGGATTTTGAGTGAGGGGCGGGGGGAGATGGAGAGGGGAGACTGAGGAAATATCGGGGAATTTTTCGTCGTGGAGGTGATGATCGTGGTGGAGCTTCTGCTGGGAGGGACGCCTTGGGCACGTTGATGGAGGAAAGTGGGAATTTTCCCACTTTTAAAAGGTGAGGCTGATCAAGTTCTTTTCCTTAACTTCTCCCAGCCAAAAGCAGTATAAATTTTAAAACTTCCGTTGAAGGAAATACAAATCATTGTTCAACTTTGCCAGTGGTTTGAACTCTCAAGGAGCTCTTCGTCAGGGCAATATTTATTTTCCTCCCTCAAATTCCTTCTCAGTTCATTGAGTAATAGGACAGTTCTTCGTCCAAATTTTAGGACGATTGTAAATCTATTTTGGAACATTACGGGGTTGGCCATGAATAGAAGGATGGCTCTCTTCAATGCAGTGAATGTAAAGTTTGGACGGAGAACTGTTATTAAACTGTATTAAATTAAGTCGATTGAGCCCTTGGTTGAGTTTTCGAGGAATATCTCCGAATCTAAGGGAGATAATGAAATTTTTGTAATTACATTTTTTCTAGAGCGAATTAAGGGCTACAAAAAAGGTTATGAGAAAAATTTTGCTATCGCCCTTAGATTTCGACATATTCATTGAAAATTGGTCAATAGGCAAAATCGACTTGGGCCGTTTTAAAACTGTTTTAAAAAATGTCAAAATCCTTTTTAGTTAATTTAGCAATTTAATTAAATGTTTAATCTGGTCCTTGATGGGTATTTTCGAATCTGAGGAAGATTTTCTGAGGGAAATTTTCAGATCCATGAACGCTCAAATATTTTTAGATTGGGAAAATTACAGTCGATGCATTTTTTTTATTCGTGTAATAGTGAATGTCGGAGACAAAAAGTTTCATTGGCATTTCTTTCTTACAGATCGCAGAAAAATCTCAGGAATTGTCATTCACGAAAGAGTCAGAACGAATTGTTGAAAAAAATGTGCATGATCACTTTGTGAATGTCAAAACATTCTAAATCATTTGAACTCCAAAGAATTACTAAAATTTATAACAATTTGTTTGTTAACAAGCGTTTGTTCATTGAAAAAAGGCTCAGTATGTTGTATTTAATTTTAAAAAATTAAAAATTATTTCTAGCATTTCGCGTACATTGAATATTTTTTTTCGTGGTGTTAACTACTGTTTCCTTCTCTCCTACTCGACATTATTAATTTTTACAGGACAAATATCCTTGCTTTCGACGATTATGAAGACCTGAATCTGGATTAGATCCCATTTTCACCTCCGCGGGCTTTAATTCTTCAAGAATTTAACTTGAAATTCAAGAATTGAATTTGATCCCCAGGATATTTCTGGTACACTGGCGAATTTCAAAGAAACAAATACTTTCACTCCCATTTCTTCGTCCATTCTTTTGTTTACAGATTTGAAACACATAAAAGATTTATTTTCATTTCACAATTGATTATTTCATAAAAGACAATCCACATTTTTAATGGAAAAGCATTTCAAATCAATTTGGAAGAAAGAATGAAATTCATAAAAATGTTTTCATAAAAAACCACTTGTTCATTCAGAAAAAAGTTCATTATGTTTTTTTAAATAAAGATAAAGTAGCTAAAAGCTATTTCTAGCATTTCACCTACATCAACTATTTTTCTCGTGATTTTCCCTTCTGTTTCCCACTATTCGTAAGACACAGGATGAATACCCTTGCTTTTGAGAATTCTCAAGGCTTCTTCTGATCCTGGTTTCACTCCCATGGGCTTTAGTTCTACGACAATTCAATTTGAAATATTTCTAGATTGAGAACATCACATTTGATCCAGGATTTTTCGTCAATTTCATTATTTAATAAAGATAAACTAACTAAAAGTTATTTCTAGCATTTCACAGAGAGAGAACATTACATTTGATCCAGGATTTTTCGTCAATTTCTTTATTTACAAATTTTGAATAAATCTCAGGCATTGTCATTCATATCTAAAAATTCACTTTTTGAATGAGAAAGCAGTCTAAATAAGCTTGAAGGAGTGAAATTTATGAAAATTTATTCATAAAAAATCATTGTTCATTCAGAAAAAAAGTTCATTTTTTCATTTAATAAAGATAAACTAGCTAAAAGCTATTTCTAGCATTTCACAGAGAGAGAACATTACATTTGATCCAGGATTTTTCGTCAATTTCTTTATTTACAAATTTTAAATAAACCTCAGGCATTGTCATTCATAACTAAAAATTCACTTTTTGAATGAAAAAGCAGTCTAAATAAGCTTGAAGTAGTGAAATTTATAAAAATTTATTCGTAAAAAATCATTGTTCACTCAGAAAAAAAGTTAATTTTTTTATTTAATAAAGATAAACTAGCTAAAAGCTATTTCTAGCATTTCACCTACATCGACAATTTTTTCTCGTGGTTTTCCCTTCTGTCTGCCCCTCTCCTGCTCGACATTATCAATTTTCTCCCACTGTTCGTAAGAGACAGGACGAATACCCCTGTTTTTGAGGATTTTAAAGACTTCCTCTGATCCTGGCTTCACCTCCATCGCCTTCAGTTCTTGAAAAATTAAACTACCAACATTGAAGGCATTCGTCATGGTCGAGAGGATGACCCCAATGGGTCCAGTGGCGACCCACCCAGCTGCGTAGAGACAGTCCCCAATTTTTCCAGAGGAGTTGGCAACTCTCCCTCGTTCGGAATCAAACGGAACTGATGGGTCAATCTGGACTGATTTATATCCAATGCTTCGGAGCACTAGACCACAAGGAATTTCTTCCACCCCCTCTGTGGCCACTGCTCTCTGATTGAGAACGTCCTCACCCTCTAGTTTATTCACTGAGAGTTCAATTTTTTCCACTGAAGTCGAGCCCACGATCTCCTTCGGCCCTCGGAGGAAAATTGGGGCGAATTGCTTGACTCCTGGGCTTTCCTGATCTTTTGGCTCAGAGAGGTTTTTCAGCATGAGTTCTGTGAGTCGTTTCCTCGGTCTCACGAGACTTGGAACGACGTCTGCGACTCCTGCGAAGTCCTCGGGACGCCAGGTGGTACAGCAGTCCTTGAGTTTTGTCATCTCTCGAAGCTCTGCTATGGTGAAGGCTGCCTGGAGGGGCCCTCGACGACCCACCATCCACACACGACGGATTCGGCTGAGGGAGAGCTGGTCCAGGGCGTGGGAAGTTATGTCTGTTTTCTGTAATCGCAAATAACAATTTTAAGTAGCATTTTTGAAATTTATTTGATTTACTTAATTCAAGGGTCTACTATCTTTCGAACGTTATCCCGATGTTTTTTTTCATCTTTCGTCATCTGAAATTGTCAATTATGCATCATGCAGAAGTTTTGAAAAATTATGAATGAATAATCAAAAAAAAGTAGGAGAAATTCTTAATTTTTTCAAAGAGTATTTTTAATTTATATTCAGAATAAGTTGAATAACAAGAAATTGAGAAATGTATCTGATTTACGGCGACAAATGGCGGCCTGTCACCCAATATCATGCAGGGGGAAGACTGATTTCGTAAATCTTTTCCCACACTGCACAGATACATTTATTACGGAAAATGCTCTTTGAATAAAGTTGTAATATTTTGAAGATTTTTTTAATCACACTTTTATCACAAAAATGGCAGATGACTACATACCACTGTTTTGAAAATTGAGATACCTAGCTGTCACTTCCCATGAGGAGTTAGTGTTTTGTTACCCACCATGGAAAATGACAGCTAATAGATAATTTGCCACAGCGAATCAGATATTTGTAATTTCCACTTTTTTCAACTCATTCTGAATCTCAATTAAAAACGCTCCTTGAAAAAGTTGAGAATTTATTTATTTATTTATTTTTTTAATCATTCTATCATAATTTTTGGGAATTTCTACATGATGTACCACTTTATTCACAATTTTGGATTACGAAAAATACAAAAAATCCAGATAATATTCGAAAGATAGTGCACCCGGGCCTTAAATTGAAAATCGAACATTTATTCGTGATGAAGTCTATGCTTCGTCTTACATATATTATACATATTTTCTTACATATATTTTACGAAATGAAATATATTTTACTTAGTGCATACATGATATTTTGAGATATTTTAGTTACTATTGACAGAATTTTTGAAATAATGAAGAAGTTTTTGAGGTCTTTTCTAGAAAACTTTGCGTTCATCATAAAAAAATCTTTTTTTTATTTTTATTATCAAATTCTGTTAATTGCTGAGGCCTGATGAGGCCAATCTACTGTCATTTTGAGTTAAAGAACTACTACGAAGGTCAAACATCACTTGATATTGACTATTTTAACCCACGGATTTCTAGAAAGATAGAGAGAGATAAATTAACCTCCACATTGAAAAAATAATAGCAAAGTGAAGTGAATTCTCAGATTTATTAGTCTCCCCATTGACAAAACGAAAATAAAGTGGAGAAAATTGTCTGTAACGTCACGTCTCTTTGATTATTTTCACATTTTATTTTACTTTTTCAACAAAAAAATTAATAAATAGATGAAAATTCAAAATAAAAGTCTCATTAACAAGAATGTTCTACCTTCAACTCGTCGATGGAAGTCAATAAAATCCTTGCGATATCGACAGCAACATTCCCTTGGCCCAGAACAACCGCCTCCTCAACATCTAAATTAATTTTCAAATCTTTATTCGCTGGTAATCCATTGTACCAGCCCACGAACTGACGTCCAGAGATAACATTAGGTAAATCTTCTCCTGGGATTCCCAAAATTCTGTCCTGTTCAGCTCCATAAGTCTACAAAAAAAACAGATGAATAATTTTTTTGGTTTTTCACATTAAGGCCTAACGGAAGCGGTCACAAAAGTTGACTTTTTTCAGTCAAATTTTATCCGATTCTATCCAATATGAATGGCTAAAATTTTAACCAAATATTGAGGGGAGGTTAAGGAAGGGCTTAACGAGTTCCATTGACTAATTATTGGCAAAAAAAAAATTTTCTGCAAATTTTTGTGCCAATAAATAACCAATGGAACCCGTTAAGCCCTTCCTTAACCTCCCCTCAATATTTGGTTAAAATTTTAGCCATTCATATTGGATAGAATCGGAGAAAAATTAAATGAGAAAAAAACTTTTGCGATCGCTTCCGTTACCCCTTAATTGAAAGAAACTTCAATAGACACCTCTCTGCAGCCACAATACGGTCATCCCAACAATTCCAACAACTCAAATACGAAAATTCTAATAAATAAAAATCTCTTTTCATCCAAAATTGCCGACGTTTCGAATGCTATATGGATTCTTCCTCAGGGCAGTTTATTCCATCTAATGAATTTTCGTAACTCCGCTTAAACAGCGTTCCACATACTCATGTTTACGAGAATAAAACACAGAAGGAGCCGAAACTCCCTTTATATAACAGTTAATCTACATTATGTCAGCACATTGTACTAATTGTATTGTTTTATTTATTAGAATTTTCGTATTTGAGTTGTTGGAATTGTTTGGATGACCGTAGTATGGCTAGAGAGGTGTCTATTGGAATAACGGAAACGGTTGAAAAATTAATGAAATGAAAGAAACTTTGTGCAGATTTTTTATACCAATAAAACTGCATGATAATTCCTCCTCAACTCCTCGACAGTCACGTCCTTTCCCACATTAATATTCCCCAGAAACTTGACGCGAGGGTTCTTCGCTGTTTTATTGAAGGTGTTGATGACATTCTTAACTTCTGGATGATCTGGAGCAACTCCAAATCTAACTAGACCGAAGGGAACAGGCAAACGCTCCAGAATGTCGACTTCTACATCGTTGGATGCCTGTGAAGAATAAAATAATTAGCAACTTGATAATTCGGAGATTGAAGATGTTTATTCATTTTGCGGGAATTGAACTCTTCTTTTTAACGTTATTTATTGCAAGAAACATACATTCTTACAAATGGCCATTGCCCGAGGGCCTTCAGCCTAGAATACACTTTTTTTGGACAGTATCAAATTATCTCTATCAGGAGTGGTGTACATGTGGTTCAATGTTGATGATAGTTAGACGTGAGAAGAAGACACACGAAAAAATTTAATAGAAAAACCTATCGAATTCGTTAGAAAATTCAATTGAATTTCTATTAAACTTTCTATTAGTTTTTGGCTGACTCTATTGACATGTTCAATAGAAAACAGTCAACAGAATTCGATTTTTCTATATAACTTATTCTTTTCACATATTTTCTATAGAATTTGCTCTACTCACATTTTCCAAGTTTTTTTCATTCTATTTTTCTTTTCTTCTCATCAAGAAAATCAAAAAAAATTAGAAAATTTGAGCCGAGGAAATTCTATAGAAAATATCTGAATAGAATAAGTTATATAGAAAAATTGAAATCTATTGACTTTTTCTACTGAATATTTTCTATTGAACATTTCAATAGAATCGGCCGAAAACTAATAGAACAATTCAATAGAAATTCAGTAGAATTTTCTAAAGAATTCGATAGGTTTTTCTATTAAATTTTTCCATCCGTGGGGGAGCATGTGAGACCGTAATTACTGATAATTTGATGAAGATTAGCGGCTTCCGTTCAATTTTCATAATCAACAATTAATAAATTAAATAGAAAATGTGAATGAATAGGGAGAACATTAAAGAAGTGCAAACATAACTTAAATTTTGAAGGTGAAAACCTGAAATAAATTCTAAACGGAAGTTGATATGAATAAAAACATTCTGGTTGAGTTCGTGCTCAATTGGCAGTCTAGTATTCTTGATGATAATTAATTCAGAAGTGTCGAAATAACAGAGTCTTATGAGAAAATGAATTTTCCGAGATTAGAGAGAAGATAAAAATGTAGAAAAAATCTTAAAACATTAGAAAAAAATGAAAAAAATTTTTACCTGGTGCAAAAATTATCTTTTTCTGAACTTTTGATGAATAATTAATGTTTCTGGGTACCCTGAATATACAGGATGCCTATACCTAGTTAACCGAGCAATGATTGCTTAAGAAGATAATTGTAGAGAGAATTTGATGGATTAATTTCTTACTTTTGCCAAAGCTATAATTCATGTAAGAAATTAGCAATGATGAATCTTTTTTTTTGGAAATTTTAAATTTATTTGTTCTCACTACATGGAATCGTTCAATTTCACAAAAAAAAACATGACGACTTGATTAATGTAAAATTTTCTTATTCTTTTATTAATAAAAATCTTGAGTTTGAGACGAAATTAAGGTATTTTAATAATTTCCTCCTCCCGCTTTCGTCCTGTTAAAGAAATTCATCCATTTTCTGAAAATGCGATCTTTTCATAAAAACCTTTTCATTTTTTTAAAACATTTTCTGTTACAATTGTTGGAGTTGCAAACATCATTTTTCGTTCATGGTAGAACATTAATTCAGACAATGAATTAATCCAATGAATGAATGACTGAATCGTCCAATTTCACTTAAAAAATGACATGATCATAACAACGTGATGAATGCAAAATTTTGTTATTCAACATAGTTGATAAAAATCTCGATTTCAAACCGAAATTAAGATACTTGAATAATTTCTTTCTCTTGCTTTCATCATGTTAAGAAAATTCATTCATTTTCTGAAAATGAATTTCTTCATAAAACCTTTCTGAGCGAAAATTTTCCGCTGCTAAACAACTGCAGAATTTACTCAAACACCCTAGAATGAATATTCACCTTTATTAACTGCTGCGCAGCATAAAAACCAGCAGGTCCAGCTCCCACAATGCAAACTCTTGGTGTTGGAGCTTTACCAGAGTAATTTCGAACACACCGAAGTGCCCTAACGCCCCTCATCATTGAATTAATCCACCTGAAACATCAGAATGAGTTTTTTAATTAATTATCCAATTGTCAACTATTTGAAATAATTCAGGAATTTTATCAGCGGGCGGGTTATATATTTTTAATAATTCTTCGTATTAAATGAAGTTCGTACTGAGTAGTTGTATTGTGATTCTGGCAGTAGTGGAGAGTGGAATACTTTCTACGGTGAACCAGGTCACATTGAAATTCTCAGGAGCTATCGGAGCCGTGAATCTCTTCACCTTTCGTCTATTTCCGTAATGAATTCGATAGTGAAATGAGTTCTGTGATTGAAAATCCAAAGTTTCAATTGTCCAATGGTGAATTATTCTCATAAATTTGACATCATTGTTGCACTCATTCACTTCACAACAAAATTCTTTCCAAAATTACAAATTAGACTTATTATTCATCTCACCTTCAATTTACAAAATCAAATTAATTAATTGATGATAGAAATTAGAATTTCAAATACATTAGAGTGTGATGACACTTGTAGACTTCACATGATCATGAATTTCTCTTCATAACGAGGAAGTATTAAAATTGTACTTGAATTTATCCAAACTGACAATATTAGAATCTAGAATACTAAATAAGTATTGTATCTAAAAAAGACAACAAGGAAAGCCAAATTGACATGTCATATTTATCCAAACGTTTGTAAATAATCCACTGTAGGTTGATACATGAATTAAAAAAAGAAAAACAAGGAAGTATTAATTATTCCCATTGCCAAATGATGAATTATTGTCCAAAAAAATTGACATAATTATTGGAGTCTTCCACTGCGCAACAAAATTCTTTTCAAAATTACAAATTATATTTATTATTCTTCTTATCACAACTTCATAATCTTCAATTTACAAAAAAAAAGATTAATTCAGTAGCGAAGTGGTAAAACGGTATAAGTCAATTTTGACTATTGCCCAGTTTATTAATAAATATCTCGGAATCTAAGGGAGATAGCACAATTTTTGTTATAACCTTTTTTGTAGAGCCGATTGAGAGCTACAACTAATGTAATTACAAAAATTTCGCTATCTTCGGTAGATTCGGAAATATTCATCAAAAACTCAATTGGGAGACAAATCGACTTGAACCGGTTTACCACTTCGCTACTGAATTGATGATAGAAATTGGAAGTTCAAATAAATTAAAGAGTCTCATGACATTTTTAGACTCCACATAATCACAAATTTCCCTCTATAATGAGGAAGTATTAATTATCTCAATTGTTAAGTTCAGTTTAATTTTAAATGTTAAATTATGAATCGTTTTCTCAGAAATCTGACATAATCATTGAAAATTTTCCACTTTGCAACAGAATTCCTTTCAAAATTACAAATAGAATTCATTATTCTTCTCATCCTAACTTTGTTTTCCTCAATAAAAAAAAACGAAAAACAAAAAATTAAATTAAATTATTATTAAAAATAAATTAAATTATGATTAAATTAAATTATGGTAAAAACTACAATTTCAAATAAATGAAAGAGTGTCATGACATTTTTAGATTCCACACAGTTACTAATTGCCCTTTATAACGCGGAAGTGTTAATTATCTCAATTGTTTAATTCAATTTAATTTTAAATGTTAAATTATGAATTGTTTCCTCAGAAATTTGACATAATTATTGAAGATTTTCCACTTTACAATAGAATTCCTTCCAACATTATAAATAGAATTCATCATTCTTCTCATGACAATTTTGTTTTTCTCAATAAAAAAAAATTAACAAAAAACAAAAAATTAAATTAAATTATGGGATGACAAAAACTACAATTTCAAATAAATTAAAGAGTGTTATGACATTTTTAGACTTTACATAATTGCAAATTTCTCTTTACAACGAGAAAGTATTACTTATCTGAATTGTACAATTTAATTAAATTTTAAATGTTAAATTATGAATTGGTTCCTCAGAAATCTGACATAATCATTAAAGATCTTCCACTTTGCAACAGAATTCCTTTCAAAATAACAAATAGCATTCATTATTCTTCTCATCCTAACTTTGTTTTCCTCAATAAAAAAACGAAAAACAAAAAATTAAATTAAATTATCGGACGACAAAAATTACACTTTCAAATAAATTAAAGAGTATCCCAACACTTGCAGACTCCACACAATCCCCAATTCTCCTTCACAACTCGGAATTATCGATTAATGCAACGATGTGATTGATAATATGTTTGATCGCCGCGTGATTAATCATCAGGATGCTTTGGTACAGCTCGCAAGCTGGAAAAAAATTAAGTAAACGTCAGGGGATTGTTTATTCCTCAATTGATGAGGGGTGCAGGTGATATTTTTCCTTACCACATAATTTGGCAATTGGGAAGATCGATATCACGAGTTTATCATTATCTCTGGCTCTTTCTGATGCTGCAACGATTTCCCTGAAGGTTTCGATGACTCTTCGAGTCCTTCTAGCATTTTTCAGGGTCACGATGGTTCCCAGGTCGCTTGTTAATTCTACCTCGAGGGCCTCGAATGCGCGGACCAAGAGATAGAGAATTCCAACGTTCAATTGAGTCAGGAGACAATATCCGAGGAGAACAATCGTCTGATTCTCTTCGATGCTCTCGATTATTTCGTGAACAGTTTTTATTAAATTCGGGTCGATAGCTGGGGTGCACTCGAAGCTGTAGACTCTCTTGTTCTCTCTTCTCATTTCTTCGATGAACAGAGTCTTGGCTTTTGCTTCCGGGAATTCAAGCTTCAGTTGGAGCTCATTAATTACGTCGAAACTAGTGTTGAAATGTTTGAGAATTTTCGCAACGCAGAACCTCGAGCTCTGGACTTTTTCGTACGGTTTCCCGAGAGTTATTTTTAGGGGTCCTGGGTCATTTTGGAGCTGCAATGGTTATGAAGGAATGTAGAGTTAATTGAGAGAATGGAGAAATTAGCAAGATGGGTGCAAGGCTGAGAAATCGAGGTTTTCGTCAGTAGATTGAATGAGAAAATTTAACATTCATTAATTTTCGGAAAATACTCTAGATAATTTTAGTAAATGTGGTTTAATTTCTATTGTAAACAATTATTCTCATTGATTAAGAATTTCCATTAAATGTTTTCATTGTTGAATTTGAAAATTGCAGAAAGAAAATTAATGAGTTGACGTATGAAAAAATTAAATACAGAGGAACCTAATGCTTCCTCCAAGAAATTCTGTTGAAATTCGTAGAATTCCAATGTTTTCAAGTCTATAAAAAAAAAATGAAAATAGAATTTTCTCTCGAATTCAATAGGTTTTTCTATTAAATTTTTTCGTCCGTATCAATGAGCAATATTTGGAACGTTTGTCAATGAAAAATCAATTATCAGGTCCCAAACATGAGATTAGAAAATCGAAAAAAATGCATGCAAGTTCCCTATTCACCGACAAAAACCTCGATCCCTAAGCCCCACAAACCTGTCCAAAAAATCCTCACATCAAGTAAAAATCTCCCCTCTCCCAGGACGCCCTGCACCTCCTCCTGCGCCCTCCTGACCCTCTCGCCCGCGCTCATCCCCTCCTTCCTCCTCCTGTCATTGAACGACTCCCCCGAGAACTTGGACTCCATGACCTCGCAATTGAACATCCCGAGCCTCCTCTTCCCCACGACCTCCGCGTCCTCCCCCACCGGCCTGACCCGATACCTCTCCACGAACCCCTCAGCCACAGCCCTCCTGAGGCTCCTCACCTCGTCGTCCCCCCGCCCAAAAGTCCAAATATTCCTCTCAATAACCTCGCACTGAAGTTCCTTGAAGAACTCCCCAGCCTCGACGACCTCCCTCACAAACTCCCCAGGCACATCCTCCCTCCGAAACATGGGAGCCCCTGACCCCCCCTCATAGCACCCCCTGAGCCCCCCCAGCCACC